ACCCCGAAGCCACGGATGATCTCCCCCAGCGGCTTCACATAAATATTGAACAGAAGTGGAGAGAGGACCGACCCTTGTGGAACCCCACAAGTTAGGGGTCTTGGGGTCGACCTCTGTCCCCCTGCCAATACAGACTGCGTACGGTCGGTGAGGAAGGAAGAGAACCACCGCATCACGGTGCCCCCCATTCCCAACCCACAGATAAGAAACAAAGCCAAAAGATATCCTTACCCTACAGTTTAGTAGTGTATAAAGTACATGGTCAGGAGTTGTCTGTGCCCTCCACTGTAAGACTTCTGAGAGGAATAAGAACTGGTGGGGAAAACAAGATAAACATTAAGAAAGAGAGAAAAGTAAGAAACACAATTGCTTCTTTAAACATCTTTTAGGTCTAGAAAAAGCTCTCTCTTCTCTGAACTGCAAACTCCTACCAGTTTGACAGATTCATAGATCTTAATACTATGAAGAAAAGAAATTTAAGGATGTTGAGAGTAAAAATCTGAAAATACAAATTAAAAATCAGTATCATACAATAAACTGAACTTTTTTTTCAATTAATCAACACAGAATTCAATTAATTCATTCTTCTTCTAAATAGACTGAAATTAACAGCCACTTAGAACTGTATGTATGCACTGATGTGATCAGGAACAACATCCAGTTAAAGGTAAAGATGAAGGTTTCCCTTATCCAGTCATGTCCGACTCTAGTCATGTGCTCATCTCCATTTCTTAGCCAAGGGAGCCAGCGTTGTCCGAAGACATTTCCAGGGTCACGTGGCCAGCATGAATATATGCTGAGGTGCATGGAAGGCTATTTACCTTCCCACCGAACTGGTACCTATTAATCTACTGACATCTACATGCTTTCGAACAGCTAGGTTTGCAAGAGTTCCCCCTGTTGCGTGATGTTTGGGTCTCAAATCTGGGCAGTTAGCTTTCCAGCTGACAAACTCAGCATCTTTAAACCACTGAGCCATTGCACCCCTAATATCCATTTTGTATTAAATATTTATAACTGTCAGTTTTAAAAGACAACTATACATAATGTGTACTAAGTAGAAACATGCAGGGCTTTTTTTCAGCCGGAACGCGGCGGAACCGCGTTCCGGCACCTTTTTCCGGGCCGGCCGCACCGGAAATAGCCCCTCCCGCACCGGAAATAGCCCCTCCCAAATTTTACTTGCATTCCTGTTCTCTAAAGGGGCGGTCCTAGGGTTTGATGAGGGCGTGGCCAGGTTTGAGTTCCGCCACCTTTTCTCT